TAAAAATAGACTAAGTGTAAGAATAAAAATTATAGATATAGAGATTGATATAAATATAAATATAAATATAAATATATATATATATATATATAACACATAAAATTTAAGATATAAATATATGATAGTGTAAGATAATGATATAAAAGTACGACAATGGCAGGATTTGAACCTACGCCTCCATAGGAGAAGTGATTTCGAGTCACACGCCTTAGACCACTCGGCCACATTGTCATTAACCTTTAAATATAGAAAGGAAAGTGGTATAAAAGTCTAATAGATTATAGAAAGTGGTATAAAAATCTAATAGATTATAGAAAGTAGTATATAAGTCTAATAGATTATAGAAAGTAGTATAAGAAAGTAAGAAAATATAGGAAGGTAGTATAAGACTCTAATAGAATATAGAAAGTGGTATAAGACTCTAATAGAAACATACTAGATGATACAAAAATATAGAATATAGACAAGTATAAATATATAGAGAATAAAGATAAAGAGTAAGTGTGGTAGGATATGAACATAATAACATATCTAGTATAAGTAGTATACATAAAATAGATAAGTAGAGGAAAAGTATAAAGGATATAGTTATAGTAGTTATAGAATAAAACATATAGAAAAGATATAAAGTATAAAGTATAAGGTATAAGATATAAGATATAAGGTATAAAGTATAAGGTATAAAGTATAAGTTATAAGAGTATAGTATAGTATAGTATAGGTGGAAGTATAGTAGGAATATACTATTAAAAGATGCAAGAGGTGGGGTTTGAACCCACGCCTCCGAAGAGATCCGTACCTGAAACGGACGCCTTGGACCACTCGGCCACTCTTGCTATTACCTTGAAGGAAATAGAAAGTAGAAAAACAAGAATAGTAATAAACATGATAGAATAGTAATAAACATGATAGAATAGTAAGGTGAATAGTCATATAGAATAATAAATAGATAGAATAGGAAGTAGTTTTGTCATATAGAATAATAAATAGATAGAATAGTAAGGTGAATAGTCATATAGAATAAACATATAAAAAGAATAAAAATAAATAATATATGATAGAAATGGGTAGATATATAGAATAGGAAGTATAAAAATTAGAAGGATGTATAAGTATATAATATATAATATAGAATAGTCATAAAAATAGACTAAGTGTAAGAATAAAAATTATAGATATAGAGATTGATATAAATATAAATATAAATATAAATATATATATATATATATATAACACATAAAATTTAAGATATAAATATATGATAGTGTAAGATAATGATATAAAAGTACGACAATGGCAGGATTTGAACCTACGCCTCCATAGGAGAAGTGATTTCGAGTCACACGCCTTAGACCACTCGGCCACATTGTCATTAACCTTTAAATATAGAAAGGAAAGTGGTATAAAAGTCTAATAGATTATAGAAAGTGGTATAAAAATCTAATAGATTATAGAAAGTAGTATATAAGTCTAATAGATTATAGAAAGTAGTATAAGAAAGTAAGAAAATATAGGAAGGTAGTATAAGACTCTAATAGAATATAGAAAGTGGTATAAGACTCTAATAGAAACATACTAGATGATACAAAAATATAGAATATAGACAAGTATAAATATATAGAGAATAAAGATAAAGAGTAAGTGTGGTAGGATATGAACATAATAACATATCTAGTATAAGTAGTATACATAAAATAGATAAGTAGAGGAAAAGTATAAAGGATATAGTTATAGTAGTTATAGAATAAAACATATAGAAAAGATATAAAGTATAAAGTATAAGGTATAAGATATAAGATATAAGGTATAAAGTATAAGGTATAAAGTATAAGTTATAAGAGTATAGTATAGTATAGTATAGGTGGAAGTATAGTAGGAATATACTATTAAAAGATGCAAGAGGTGGGGTTTGAACCCACGCCTCCGAAGAGATCCGTACCTGAAACGGACGCCTTGGACCACTCGGCCACTCTTGCTATTACCTTGAAGGAAATAGAAAGTAGAAAAACAAGAATAGTAATAAACATGATAGAATAGTAATAAACATGATAGAATAGTAAGGTGAATAGTCATATAGATTAATGGACATTCTTTGTTGATGTGAATGTTCATATGGATTTGTTGATAATTAGAATATTACGATTAGTAGTTTTATCGTTTATTGAATAATTCCATTCTTTTTTTAATTCTTTCTTTTTTTTTTTTTTTCGATTTTTCTTCTCTTTATTTTTCTTGTTTTTTATTTTTTCTTTTTTTTTATATTTTTTTTTCATATTTTCTTTTTTTTTGATTTTTTTTTACTTTTCTTCTCTTTGTATTTTGAATTTTAATACTTGTTCATGAATATTATAAACGACTCTCAAATGATGTTTCTTCTATTCTATCATCATTAAATAATATGAAATATAGTAGTCTCAATACAATATGAAAGATTAATAATGATATAATCTCAAAATTAAGATACTGAATATGTATTATCCCATGGAAACTTGGTGAATTTGAGAATATAGATAAACAAATAAGAAAGGCATTGATACGACTTCAACTGTACAGTAGAAACATCAATAAAAGTAGATTATATGTTACAATAAATGAATTAGGAATGGGATTAATGTCACCACGAGATGAATATTGTAAAGAATTATTAAGAATATATTTAAAATATAAATATCAAATACAGAAATAGGAGAAATGATAGAAATAGTAAAAGAGAATCAAATGGAATAATTAAAAGAATGAAGAGGGCATTTGGTAAGAAAATTAATTTCAATGAATTAATGAATATAATACAGTTAAATGAAATAAAACATGATGTAAACAAAGTAATTGAATTTGTAACAAATAAAATAAATGAAAGATATTTAAATGAATGGAAAGAAATGAAATGTAGTGAATATATAAGAAATGTAAATTGTATATTTAATATTATGAAATTATCAGTAACTACATGGATGTCATTAAATATAAAAAGAAATATATTCATCAAAGTAGTAAAGATGTAAGAAGGAGTAACTATGACAGGAATTATTAAATCTAAAATACTTAATTGTGATGCTTTAAAATATTGTAAACATTGTCCTATCACAATTACATCTATAAGCCACATTTTGTTAGGATGTCCTGTAATGAAGAAGAATCAAATATTAAAACATGATTATGTATGTAAACAAATATATAAACATATATTAATTACATATTTTATTAAATTTAATGAAATAGATTTTAATACACATCCTAAGTGTATTAATAATAATGAAATGGTTATAACTTACAATAATGATTTATTTATTAATGACCTTTCTTTTAATGTTAGAATACCAGATATATATTATCAAATCATCAAAGAAAAAAATGATATATTATTGATGTCGCCATATGTCAAGACAGAAATATAGAATTAAACTATATTTACAAAATAAATAAATAAAAAGAATTACAAGAGAAGTTAATACAAAGTATAGAATTAATTTAAGTAGAAATAATACTTGTAATATTAACAATCAATTAATACATAAAGAATCAGTAAGAAGATTAAAAACACTAAAATTACAAATTGACTTCCCCAAAATACTACGAACAACCATTATTAAAATCATGAAATACTTAATGTTCTACATATTTAACACTGATAGTACATTAGAAGATGAACATTCTAATTCTCATATATTAGAAATGAACTCTATTATAGAAATAGAGCATATTGAAATCACTAAAATAATCACTTCTTAATGTTCATAAAATCCAATTGTGGATAAATCTATTAGTTGATATTTTTTTATTGTAGTTTTACATCTATCATGTATTTCTTTGTTTCGATTTTTGTTTTTGATTCATTTTTCATTTGTTTTAATATCTTCATCTTTTATTTTGTTTTATATTTGTTTTTCTTTATTATTTTATTATTTTATTATTGAATATACTTCTTGGACATTATTATACCATTTCTTTATCTTCTTATTTTTTATGTATTTCTGATTATTTTCATTTCTCATTTTCATTATTATTTTATTTTTCATTTGAATTTCATTTATTGTTAATAATTTAGATTTATTATTTGTATAATGTTTATTATCTTTATATTTACTTTCTTTCTTATTTGTTTTTATTTGTATTCTTCTTTTTCTATTTACTATTTTCTTGTTATTTCTTTTATCATTATTTATTCATTTTATTGTTATTTCATTTATTCTTTTCTTTGAACATGAACATCTGTTTGTTGATTGATTTTCTTTACAATACTCTATTACATTACTCAATAGCATGGCAACAAAATATGATGTATATTCTGAATTGATAAAACGAATAAAAGAAATAAATAAGAAGATAAATAAGATAAAGATATATAAGAAATAATAAACAAAACAAAATAAAGATATAAAATAAATAGAATAAGAAAGATAAGAATAAGAATATAAAAATAAAATAAAAAGAAATAAAGAATAAAAAAAGAATTATAAAATAAATATAAAGAATGATATAACAAACAATAAGATAGAAAAGAATAATATTAAAAAGAATAAATAAGAAAAGAATAATAATAATATAAATGATAATCAATTATAATTTATTTCTACTTCAATTTATATTGTATTTCATTTATTATATTTTTATTTCATTCATCACCATTCGTTAAAGCAATAGCTTGGTATTCTTTCATTTTTCTTTAATTCATCTTCACATCCACATTTATAAAAACAATAATTTCCTATTTTAGTAATTGATGATGGTATATTAATTGATGTTAATAATGAACATTTATAAAAACAATAAATTCCTATTTCTTTAATTGATGATGGTATATTAATTGTTGTTAATGATGAACAATCATTAAAACACCAATCATCTAATTTAGTAATTGAAGATGGAATAATAAATTCATTAATATCTTTCTTGAAAATATTCTTTCCATTGATTATTTGTATAGTATATGGTATTTCAATACTAATTAACACTGGTTCATTCATAAATATTCTTTCTTCACTAATAAACTGTAGATTATCTATATTAATTGTTGTTAATGATAAACATTCTTCAAAACAATTAAATCCTATTTTAGTAATTGATGATGGTATATTAATTGTTGTTAATGATTTACAATATTTAAAACATTCATCTCCAAGTGTTGTAATTTCTGATGGTATTGTATTTCCATATGATTTTCTATCTTTTTTTGTATATTCTATATTTTTACAGATATTTCCTTGTTCTTTCTCTTGTAAATATTTTGAATATTCTACTGTATACCATATTACATATTTAAATATTCTTCCATCATTAAATATTTCATCATTTTCATCATAAATATGAAATGTTTCAATATTAGGAAATAATTTTCTTGAATGTTCATTTAAAGGAATTGGATTAAAATGAAATCGTTCAATATTTCCTCTAAATCTTTTAACACCTATTTCTAAATTAATAAAATCATTAATATCATTAAAATACATTGATGTTATCATTATTTCATTATATCCTAATTTCATTATTGATTTGTTGTTTATTAGTTCTTTTATTAGTTCTTTTATTTTTATATTTTAATTTCTTCTTTTTTATTCTTTTATCGTTATTCTATTTTTATTAATTGATATTTGTTATGAAAAACATTAAACAATATCAAATAATGAAGAATGATAAATAAATGAAATAATAAAATATAAAATTATTTAATTCATAATTTCATTCATTTGTATTAATTTAAATCATTTCAATAAATTATAAACAAATAATTATACAATAATAATAATATAAAATGGAAATATAAATAAAATATGTTAATAAATAATATAATTATAATTATAAACAATTTAACATACAAAATAACAAAATAATATCAAATGAACATAAAAATAAGAATAAATAAAATAAATACAATAAAATGAAATAACATACAATAATAATAAATGATTAATTAGTATTAATAGAATTATACCTATTAATCATAGATCAAGTGAAATTAAACTCTTTAATGAGTCTTCATTAAATAGTTCAACAACATATGTTTAGT